TTGGCATTCGGCACTAGTGACGTTGTTTACTGTCGGTGATTGTGAGCTACTAGATTTTAATCTGCTTGGACACACTTAAGCCTTTCAGCTAAAAATAATCCACTGAGTGTTTGCTTACAGCCGGATACCGTGCAGAAGCAGCCAGGGAAACCTCAGACTTCTGCACTCTGGGTCAATGGCAATCAGATGCTTTGTGGGGGATGATATATTTGATGGCCAGGAAGAAGGGGGTGGCTGATCATACTGCTTTCTTGCAGTAAAAAGGAATATCTAATATCTACACTTCTACCCCGATAGAACGCTGTCCTCGGGAGCCAAAAAATCTTACCGCATTATAGGTGAAACCGTGTTATATCGAACTTGCTTTGATCCGCCGGAGTGCGCAGCCCTGCCCCGGAGCACTGCTTTACCGCGTTATATCCGAATTCATGTTATATCGGGTCGCGTTATATGGGGGTAGAGGTGTATATATTGCATGGAACCTTTAGAATGTTTCCCACTGTGTGCATGTACGTTTTCTAATTGGAGTTTTATCTTTCTTGTAGTGGGACAATCATGTGCACATTTCCAGCAATTGTTCCCAAGGGAGAAGTGACACCAATATTTGTAAAACCTCCCATTACTTAATTTGAATCTATTTAAAACTGCCCTGGAATTATGAAGTGCTTTGGAACCCACATAAAACTTTATGAGGGTCAAGCACTGACTATAAAAATTACAAAAAAGATGCTTTCTGAAATTTTTTAGATGCTAGGTTAGAGTTTGAGAATTAAATGATCAAAGGAGCTTCCTTCTCTCTAGCAACCAAGGAGGTCATCGCCAGTACATGACAACCATTGAAGTTAAAGATGCATTAGAAACCCAGAATAGATTTGAAGAACCACCCTTCTAGAAGCACCCCTGTATTCACACCCTACAAACTATTATTGTAATCTTTATAAAATATACCTTGTGACATCTCATTTGAAAACTAACATCACCACTGATCATTAATATTCTTGGGTAAAGTATGTACACAATGTGTGTTAAGAGTTATGGACATACTGGAATTATGACTAAATCAGGCATGTCAGGGGTAGTTGGTAAACAGGTCTGCTACTGACAACAGAATGTATATTTAATTCTCTGACCAGCCCCATCTTCAGGCAAAGACAATGAAGGTCCATTTTTACATATTAGGTAAACAAAGCTATTAATCTAACAAGTGGGGGAAGAAAGGGCATGAAGCGTCCTTCACCACCAGACTCCATGTCACCTTCCTCAAAGCCTGAATAAACTTTACTTTGAGGGGTAACCCTCAGAAGAATCCATTTTAAACATTTAATGGTCTATAAAAACAGAGGCGTTGAACCTCAAGTGATAGGCAACTGAATCAACAGATTGTATACAATATAACTATTATAAAAGTGTGCAGAGTGAGGTCTTTTCTGAAAGCTAATGACACATTGGTTATTGACATAATTATGAAATGTATATACTATCACTGTCTGAGGAAATATGGATACTTAATATTATGCTTTAAAATCTGTGGCCAAAGAGTGGGAAACAGGTTCCCTCTCAGACAGAAGAGAAGGTAGTTATCTATCTGTCTCCTATGTAAATTCGGTATGGTGGAATCAAAACAATGGAAGCCCCATTTACACAGAAATCAGAAAGGGGGGATGGGAAGTCCACCGGAAAGGAAAAACAGAATGAGATCATCCTGACTCTTAAAACAAAGTCATAGAACTTTGGAAGATATAAGAAAACGTAGAAGCCATCCTCTGGCATCCATCACTAGACTGACACAAGGAAACACAGCTCTTGAAAGTTGAGAAAGAACGGTCCTTCAACCCCAGGGACGGGGGATGAAGTCTCTGGAAACTGAATATAGGTAAGAAACCATCTTGAACAAAGCGTGTATCTTGCTAGATTTTTAGATGCATGTTTTCACTTTTGCATGTAACCCTCTCTAACTTTATTCATTTTATTTGGCATCACTTAACCTATGTCCTGTTAAAATATTTGTGGTTTTTTTTTTACCATAAACCATACAGAGAAGGGTTATTTACCATAGTTAATCACAGTTAATAAGCTGTGATGTGCTTTTCTGTCTTTAGAGGAAAAAACTAACTTTATTATTTCTCTGAACTGTCCAGAAGAGGGCTGGACATTACAGAGCACATGATTTGGGGAAAATTTGGGATTGGGAGTGTGTTGGGGTCACCTTGCTGGCTGTAACCAAGGCTGGTGGAAGCCGGAGTGGGGCTGTAGGGCCATAGATGGGCTGCTAGGGTCAGAGCTGCTGAACCAGGACAGGCTACACAGCACACAAACACACGGAGTATGACCTGCATGCCTGTAGGCTGCCTAAGTGTCTCAGGCTGTGAGCTACAGCAGCAAAGCACTGTTAGTCACCCAGGGTTGCTGGGCAAGTAGTGACAAAATCGCTCATTGGTCTGGATTGCACCCCAAGTTGTGACATCTGCTGTTATAATTGAGAAATAATGATTCAATGTCCATCTTTCACCTATGTGGCCTGGTGAGAGATGGGTTAATTTGGTAGCTGTCCCAACCTACTTTTAAATTGCCTTTCTTTTGCCTGAGTGGATTCTCAATGCCCTGCTTATGGAAAACATCCACAGATCCTCCACCTGACTCTCTAGGAGTTAAATGCCCTATAGGGAAAATTTACTTAAAGGCAATTCAAAGCAAGATATGCACAGAGGGGGTTTAGCGACGTAGCAGAACCACTGTAAAAGTAAAAAAGTCCACTGCCAAGTTCAGAATTTGATACCGACATGCTATTCCCCTTACTAACAGCAGAAATATATAGCTTTATTTTTTAGTTATTGTATCTATTTAATTTTGGCATTTATACAACAGCTGTGAATTGTACAAACACATTGTTTCTATCTTCTTTCATGTTTACTTGCCACACCTACTGAACAATCAAACTGTAGTAATGTAATTAGAAACATCATGGGAAACTAGATATAAAAAAAAACTTGATATAAAAAAGAAAATGTGGACTCAAACTGGGGTGCTTATTAGTAAATTAGATTCATGCAGATCTTTATGTTTATTTCTGTGTACTTAATAAACAAACACAATATATTGAAATGTGGCTAGGTTAATTTTCTGCTGGAATATGTGTCAAAATACCAAATTTGCTAAAAATCCTGACCTATAATAATAATTACATAAATTAAATATTATTTATTTATTTATTTGAATTACTGTCACACCTAGGAGGCTAGTCATAAACTCGGTACAAACACAGACAAAAAGAGTCATTAATCATGGTATTAATGCATATAAAACAACTATTCACTATCTCATATCTCCTCCTCTATCTTATTTATTTAGCTCGCAAAAATAATTTTATAGCCCACAGTCCTTAAATTGATTCAAAACTCTGCTGCAGAAATCATCTTCCTGGCTTGTTGCTTCAATTACATTGCATTCCTCCACTGGTTCCTCTTTCTCCACTGCATCATACACAAATTACTTCTTTTCACTTTTAAAACCATTTATGGCCTATCTCCACTCTACCTATCATCTCTTATATGGCCTAGAGCCATCAACCACTTCATTGGCTCTGCTAGTGATACCAGCCTTTATTGCTCTTTAATCAAAGTTTCACACAAACACCGTCACACTTTCTTCTCTTCTGCATTTGAGGAGCTCTCTGTAAAAATGCCTACACAACACTTAACAATGGCTAGGCACTTGGTGTGCTGTGAATGTTGCTTTTTACACTCATTATAGTCGTCTCATTGTTACTTTGTGCCCCTTTCCCAAATTGTGTCATCACATATTGAAACTGCAAGCTCTTCGGGGCAGGAATTGTCTTTGCATTTTAAGTATGTACAATCCCTAGTGCAATGGGGTCATGATCCCCAGTTGGGTCATGAGGATGCTATTGCCAGGGCCGGCTCCAGGCACCAGCTTACCAAGCAGGTGCTTGGGGCGGCCATTCAGAGAGGGGCGGCACGTCCAGCTGTTCGGCGGCAATTCGGCGGACAGTCCCTCACTCCTGCTCGGAGCGAAGGACCTCCCGCCGAATTGCCGCCGCAGATCGCGATTGCGGCTTTTTTTTTTTTTGGCTGCTTGGGGCAGCCAAAACCCTGGAGCCGGCCCTGGCTACTGCAGTACAAATAAACAACAATAATAAATAAATACTGGCTAGAGGGATGAGAATATGAAAAATAAGAGAGAAAAGGTGGGAATGAGGTAATATCTCAACTTTGGCTGATGAGAGAGACAAGCTTTTGAGCTTACACAGAATTCTCTAGGTCCTGAAGATTTTGTGACTCTAATATCCTAGGACAGACATGCCTTAAACACCACTGCATATAATATGAAAAATAGCAGTTCCTTTTGTTTGTCTGAAAAAGAGTGAGTGCATGAGTAACATTGTGAGGAGGAGGATTGGGATAACTAGTGGACAAATATCAGTGGAGTGGTAGCTTGCATAGGGGACTGTTAAGGCTGGGAAGCTGAACCTCATTGCACTCTGTTACCACAATAGATAGGCCAGGAGAGGAGGAGCTAGAAGAAAAAAGTAGTAAGCCAGCTGCAAAGCACTCATCCAAGAGAAAGAACTGTCCAGGAACAAACCCTTCCCAGCTAGTCTGACTGGGAATCCAAGGTTTACATTTAATTATAACTTCTTTTTTTCCACACACAAAGTCAATTTATTTAGCTAGAAAGCACTTTTTAGTGTGATTTGAATAGTGGTACTGCCAGGAATAAGGGACTCAGAAAGGCTTGTTTGCTTACAATAGAGATGTTCTGTTAAATATGTGCTGTGGACATAGTCAGCTGTGCAAAAGTGGATGCTCCAAGTCAAAGGCCAGGGCTGAAAATGTAGCCCAAACTGACTCAGAACTTGACTGTGAAGGTTCTAAATTGATCTAAACCATAGAACCATTTAAGGTTTTCCTATTTGCAGGGTCCTTATCTGCTACATATAATACTTGTGTACAGCAAACACATGCCCATGCAGTCTTTCTTACCTGATTACATGTGTTAATGTCTATTCCACCCTTCAGATATTCCACTACTTTGTCCAGATTGCCAGCTCTGGCAGCTCGAAGAAAGCTCGCATTGCTGTCAGACTGTGAAAAGAGGAGAAAAAAAAAACAAAATTCAAATGACTGCTTTAAAGAGAATACAGCACTGATATAATCAAGGGTATCCACATTGTATGCTGAAGCTGTAACAATATGGTGCAAAGAAAACTGTCCATACATTTTACCTTCATTGATTCATATACACCCTAAACAGTACAAAATTAGCACAAAGGACTTATAGACTTCTCAGACTGAGCAAAATATTGCAACAGTTGCCAAAGGTAAAAAATTAGTTAGCCTGAAGGAAGAGAGTAAAAATCCTGCTAGTTAGAATTAACGATAGTAGGTAAAGGAACAGAGTCTAGCTAAGTACAACCAATTTGCCAGTCACAGAATCCCTCCTATATATGTGCCCACATCGGATAGTTTACTAACATTTCACCAGGAACCTCTGATAGCTCTAAGGTAGTTTGCTAACATTTTGCCTGGGTCATAAGCAACCAATCATCTCTTCTGCTGTTGTTTCCATTTTGAGAGATAAATGTCACTAGAGTTTGGGCTCTTATTTGAACGTGCCTGGCTGACTGACACACACACACACAAATATTTGAAAGGTAGAAGGCCCCATCAGATATCCGTAATCAGCTGAGATGAGCATGAATAAAACAGCTTGAACACACAGAGTACAATGATTAACAGAGTGTGTAAATGTGGCACTGCAGACAGACCTAACATGTTTCCCAGGAAAACAGTGCTGCAGGTATTTTTAACCTTGGGCCACAGACCCAAAGGGGATGAAGTATCTATATGCAAGATAATGTTGCAACCATCATCATTCCCCTCCTATGCTGCTTTTGCTCACATAGTCACATTTAAAGTCCAACAGTAACCCAAGGGAACATGAAATGCTTTTAGCCCTGCTCCCTTTGTCTTTAATTAGAGCACAGAATTCAAATTGGCCAACAGACACAAACACAATGATGCACCTGTGTGCACTTGCAGTTAAGTCAATTGCCAATTAATACAGCTGTCAGCAGAGAGAGAAGAAAGGAGTGCTATAGCAGCAGGGTTAAATCAGTATGATTATGGTCATGTATGAAGATTTGGGGACCTAAAGAAAGAGAAAGTAATTCTTGCTATTTTATACTTTCTGCAGGCAGAACAGAAAATGCAATTTGAAGGGAAAGACTAAATTAAAAAAAATCTACTAGTATGTTTCTGACTGGTAACATTTTTTCCAGCACAGGAGGAAATTATTGGGATCATAGTGATGCAGAAGAATAGGCATAAGAATGCTCTGCTACCTAAAGTTTTGCTGTAATATCTCAAACTTACATTAAACACATTTTCCATGTACTCCCATCGCCGTTCTAGGAGCAAGACTGTAAAGCCCATTCTCCTGAAGGCCCCACAATATTCAAAGCCAGCTTTTGTACAGCTTAATAATACTAATCACATTGATCCATTTATTTCCACCACCGCTGTTCTTCATCACTCCATAGGAGCTCAATTTACATCACTGGTTCCCACCTATTTTAATCTGCAACAGATGGATATCATCAGACCTATTCTTTTTACTACTGTATTTCATGCCAAGACTAAAAGATTTTCTTCTAAATTCCTTTCAGCAAATTTCTTTCATCGTCTTTTATAGTGTTAAGAAAACAGACGATCTTTCTTACACACAGCAGGGTGGAGAAGAAAGGTAGCATAGGAATTTGGATTTACAGAGTCGCATTATAGCCTGAGGCGTGAGCCAATCAGGCATTGCATAAAGCATGACATAGCAGCAGTCTCTGCCACATGTTTGAAAAAGATACCATCTAGATCAATGGTTTTCAACCTATTGTCAGCGGAACCCTGGGGATCAGCAGACTATGTGCAAGGCGTCTGCAAAAGGTTGTTGTTACCAAAGAACAGTGATTTTCAACCTGTGGTCCATGGACCTCTGGAGATCTGCAGACTATATCTAAGATTTCCACATTTGAAATTTTTTAGGGGTCCACAAATGAAAAAAGTTTGACAACCATTGGTCCATATCAAAGGAGATCTTGAGCAATGCAGCATCTCCTATATTACACATGTGCACACGCACAGCAAAATTATACTGTAATTTTTAATTGACCTTGAAAAAAAATCAACTGTCTTGAAGTAGAAACATTGAAAAAACCAGAAATGAAAGCACTTTTGGTGAAATACTGGCCCTAATGAAGTCAGTGGGAGATTTGGGAAAGGAATTTACTCACTATGGGTTATGTCAGTTTTTGTTTTTTGACACTTTTTACATGTCTACAGGAATTAACAGTCCCAAGGCTACAATCAGTTGCTTTCATAGTTTCAAAAATGTATAAGTGGTAAAGACATGAGCAATGACACACAATTCAATCAATGCTCTTTTATTAAGGACACGGATATCCAACATTTATTTGCTTTTCTTCCAGCCAGACAACTATATTAAAAGTTAACGTTAGACTCCCAATTATTTTTTGAAAAACAGCTTTCAGCCACAGGTAGGGTGATATTTTACATTTGTTTCTGGCTAGAAGGGTGCAAAGCTTTATTGTCATATATGAATCTCTCTACCTTGATTCATACCTTTGCCTCTTCAAGACTAGACTACTGCAATGCATTCTACTTGGTGATATATTTTAGGTCCATTCAGATACCAACCTGGTGGAGAACAGTTCACTTGCTAAGAAAGGTATCCCATAAGTATATTAGACTAGTGCTCTGTGATCTGCACTAACAGGTCTGCCTGGGGTTCCTGGGTGGAGTTTAAAGTGTTGATTTAAACATATAAAACCCTAACTGGTGTGGTACCTGCCTCCTTGGATGACTGAATCTCTCCATGTCATTCTGCTGCAGTTAAAAGCAGGAAAGGTGCTAAAAGTTTAAAAGATGCCCATTGAGAATGCCCTGCCAGCATCACTTGGCTTTGGAATTTGCTCCCCATCCACTTGGTCTCAAATATCGTTGATGTGTTGACCTTCAGGTCATACTACAGGTTTGAGTTTTGTAGGGGAGATTCTGAGGAGCTGGAGGTTGGTTGAGGAGCAATTTTTTAGAAAGGGTGAGGTGATTTTTTTCTATTTTTTCTTTTTAGTAAAAAGTTTGATTTATGCTTAGCTGTGATTTTAAACGATTGTCAAAGCTGCCCAGATGTTGGAATAGGTGTGTTGGGTTTGTCTGTTACAAATCTAAATTTAAATTTTAGAAGTGCTAATGTTTAGGTTTGTATCTGTGTCAGAACTGGAAGAAAAAAATATATGTATGGATCCAAGCATAGAGAGAAAGACTACAGATCCCTGGGACTTACAAAGGTCTTCACCATGAGGCAAAACTTCAAGAGCTGAACATATTTAGCCTTGAAAAAAATAAGAGTAGGGAAGATTTGATTGCAGTGTATAAATATTTTAAAGGGTCACACCTGCTCGTTGGGACAGACCTGCTCTTATTACAGAGAGATGGTAAAAGAAGAGGTTGGGATGAGACATGTTTAGAATTTATTATATCAAAGGGATTTATATCAAGACTTCAGCAGAGAGAAAAGGAGCAGGTACTACTGCTGAATTTGGTTTGAAGGATGAACAAGTGCTTAGTGTACTCTGTGTACCAGTTGAAAAGCTGGGTTGGCCAGTCAAGTGGGAGATCAAGTAGACCAAAAGTTTCTACACCTTGTGTGACATACTTGTGAAGGCATAGTGTGAAATCATTAGTCAAAGGGTAGTGAACATATTTTAGTTTGATAGTTAAAAGGATCAACTGCAGTTTGTTTTCTTTGTTTGCACAATAGCAAGCCAGATAAAATCCCTATCCACCAACTGTGTGCCACTACTGTTTTTGGTTCTGAGTGACCTGAAAAGAACCACCAAAACTTCTCTCTCTGGGAAATAGTACTTCAACTATAAATATTAGGGCTGGAATTTTCAAAGGAACCTAATAGAAGCAGTTTCTCAAATTCCACTGTAATTCAATGAGAGTTTGGGGCATAAATTTCTAGGCCCTTTGAAAACTCCAGCCTAATCTTAATTTCCCCCTCTCACCTCTTCCTCACTGCCACACGCACTGGACCTACATTATTTCTCCTTCTCTTCATAGCACTCCCTCTCATGTTCTTAAACATCTTCTCTATCATTGGCCTGTCATGTATGGAACAGCACAATAGTACAGGTTGAGAATGCAGATGCACCTGACTGCCGCCTATAGTGTCAAGTGAGGTTTTTACCCACGAAAGCTTATGCCCAAATAAATCTGTTAGTCTTTAAGGTGCCACCAGACTCCTTGTTGTTAATGCACAAACAGATGAAACAGCATTTGCCATGGAAGCATATCATATGTTGATTACAATCCATTCCCTACGACACTTCAGGCACTTTACAAGTCACTGATGTGAAAGCCCACTGAGCTCAAATGAAATCCCTGATATTCTCTCCTTTTCAAACCATCCTCTCTTTTTAAAAAAAACAGCTAGGGCAGAGTATCTGCTCAGAAGGAAATTGATATGGTTTCACAGTAACTTGACAGAATGAGAACACATTTCTCCTAAATAGGGGAAAGAATCACTTTTAATCACTTATAATGGAGGAAATGATGAAATTCTGGCTAGGTCCATCAACAAAGTATGGTAACCAGATTTTCTAGAATCCCATCAGAATCAAAATTAGTTTCCTCTTTTAATAAGTTTTCTCCAGTATATCAATAAAAATATAATTCCAACCAAAACTTTGAAATAATGGGTCAACTTCATCTTGTGGACTTCAGTGGAGTTACATCATGGATGAATTTGGTCCAGAATACCCAAAGGCAAGTTAATTACCGGAAGCAGACCTGGTTTAATCCACACAAGACACATTAGTTAATTATTTGTGTTATGATAGCACGCAAAGTCCTCAAATAGGATCAGACTTCATGCTATCTAAACACTCAGGAAAACAAACGCGTTCCTTGGCTCAAAGAGCTTACAATATAAAAAGGAAAAAACAGATACAACATACGGACATAGGCCCTGGTCCTGCAAGTGGATCCACACAGGCAGACCCTTTTGC